GTGCTTGGATGCCCCGAAGTTTTACCATCAGACTGGCCCTGGATCTCTGGATGTCAGGAAACATTAATAGTCATTCTTCTTCGTTTAAATGAATCATTCAATATGCTGAGCCTACTTAGCATAACACATTACTAAAAAAGGGCTCTGTTGGGAAAGCAGCAATAAAACTTCCCTGCTTCTGTAGAGCCACACACTAAGCCGGGATTTGAGTTGCTCCTCGTTTGAACAGACAAATGGAGATCTTACAGAAATTGTCAGATCACTTCACGCAGCTTCCCCCTTGTTCTCTTCCTCTGTGATTTAAGATGGCTTCACAGTTAAGGAGTCTCTGTGTTGTTCTGAATGTGGCAACAAATTACCTACCAGTTCTCCAAAAGGGTTGAAGGTTATAACAAATATCCAACAGAACAGAAGCTACAAGACACCCTGAGCACAGACTACACAGACCCAGATACAGAGTCTGCTTTGCGATCTGGTAATCACCTCAGGTACCCCCAGAGTAACACTAACACAGCTAGCTAAGCCCCAGCAGCACCACCACATACCCACCAGCACACTCTATATCCCCATCCCAGTGCAGGCTTCTCTGCCTGTGGGAAGTCCAGGTGACATTCCTCTCTCAAACTCCTCCTCTCAAACAGAGGAAGACTTTAGCATCAGTTCTTTTATAAACTGCCTCTGACCCTCCCTAATCAATACTTTCATTACTGGACACAAAATAGGGAGGCAAAAAAGAAAATCAATGATTTCCTGTGGGGAAACAGCCTGGTAAATGGCCTAGAATCCATCACTGCAATAAATCACTGCTTGGTCCCAGAAGAAAGCACCCAACACTGCATCTTACAAAAGCAAGAAGTTCTCCAGAGCCAGCTCTTTGAAAGAGCACACAGCCCCTCACAGCCTAAACCTAAGTCAGCTCCCTTTAAGAGAACAGACAGTTTGAAATTGAGATTTATCCCCAGCTTCCCTCCCAGGACTGCAGATTCAACTGCTGTCAGGTTCTTGAAAATAAAAATCAGTCAAGAGAAAGCAGCAGAGAACTCCTTGGAAATCAGAGGCTTTGAGGTCTACTGCAAACCTTTCACCAGCTTTCCTCCGTGAAGGCTGTAAAGCTCTCAGACACCCCAGGTTTGGATTTTTGCTTTGTGTATCATGAGCAAAAACCCACCCAGACATTTGCTAGCCATGAAACTGCAGAGGTTGGTGCTTGGAGCCAGGACTTCTCCAGTGCAAGCCCAGTGTCTGAGCACTAGGCAGTACTGGTCACTGACAAACTGCCCTTTCTGAAGGCCTTTCTGTCCAACCATCACCTCAGCAAGGATCTGCAGAGGAAGGTACTTCATTTGTCTCTTTTCTGCAGCCACTCAGCAGACCAGAGGGTGTCTCTGAACTAGGACTCAGCAACAGTCTAGGGATGGAGCCTCACTGCTGAGCAGAGAGGACAAGAAAGCAGCAAATGAGTTACAGCTGCCTTAAAGCCTTTGCTGGGTGTACCTCATCTCATCTGGAAGTCACAAGTCATTTCATAGAATCAACAGTATCACAAAACGGTTTGGGTTTGAAGGGATCTTAAAGCTCATCCTGTTCCAACCCCCTGCCACAGGCAGGGACACCATCCACTAGAGCAGGTTGCTCCAAGCCCGTGTTTTGTCAAAGCCATAGGCTGTGGCTGTTCCAGCTGCCTTCCTGTAGAAGGATTCGTCTCTTTTCCCTGGGGAGGATCCCCAACACAGAAATCAGATAACTCTGGCTAAAACAACATTAAGAAGAGGGATTAAGATTTAGAGTACTAAGCAGTTTATATCACTTAGCAGTGTACATCAGTGCCTGACAGAGAGAGGACGTGTATTTCCAGCACCCTCTACAGGCTGAGCAGCTGCCAGCAGCAAGGACTAGAAGGCAACCCCTGGCTGGCTTTGGGGAGTCGTTACCACCTCCCCCTGTGAAGCACCTGCAAAGCAGGGGCCTTCTGGAGCTTGCTTATGGGAGCACTCCAGCCCTCCTGCAGCCCAACAGGCTTCTACAGCTGAATCCTCAGCAACACTGCTAAGTTACACAGTGCTTACTCTCAAAGCACTTCCCAAATACTGCTCCCCAGAGGATGAACAAGAGACAGGGAAGCGTTCACAGTGGCAAAGCACACAAGCAAGAAAGCCTACCTAAAGTCAGAGCAACCCAGTACTCAAGGCAAGACTAGCAACAAGACATTCCTCATCCTGTTTTGCACCAATCCAAGTCTCCAACCCACTCCCAAGTCACATCACCTCTCCTCTGACGAGAAGAGTGGCAGCCTGATCCAAGGTGGATTATTTTGACAGTCCTAAGTGAATTAAATCTACAAAGGCCCAGATGAGACATGCAGGGAAATTAAAAAGGTTTTTTTTCCCAATTGGACTTTTAAATCAGAAATAATATAGTTCAAAGACTCTTCACTTTAAGCCCAGCTGTCCTTCAGAGGCAGCGGTCTTGCACTGGCATAAAGCTGATGTAATGTAGTGGAAAAAACCAACCCATCATGTCTTTGTGAGGTGGCCAGTGAACAAGAGAAAATGTCACTTTCCACAAGAAATGGGGCCTGACAGGCTCAAAACCGCACAGCCATTGTGTCTCTGATGATTTTCTGGCTCTGCACAGCATTTCAAATGCACTGGTTTCCAAGTTTCAGGATACCTAACATTGCAGTTTGCATTTCTATGGCATGCAGCAATGGATATGGCTTTATTGTGGTACAGTTACAAGTTTGTTCCCTGGCATACAAAAGACTGAAAAGCAGTAAGACAGCTGCCTATCACATGCACACCTTTCAGTACTTCACATCCCAGTAGCTCTCTTGGTGACTCCCCAGAAACAAGCAATTCTTAGCATCTCTCCTTCAGACTGATACAGGGTTCAGGGAAGATCCAAATCCCTTGTTCTCAAATGCTACAACCAAGATGGAACCAGTGAGCTCTACAGCTGGGCTCTACTGCTTTAGACAGTGGAGATCACAGAGGCAGATGCGCTTCAGAGTTAGGTTAAAGGCAGTCAGAAAATCACTGACTTACACTTACTGTCTCAAGAAACTGGCCCCATAACCTGCAGTATTTAGCTAGTTCAATTACTACCACAGCACCCTCCCCTTCATGCAGGTTCAGACCCACCTGGCCCACAAATCATCTACTTTGTAGAAACACCACATGAAGGGATGAATGCAGTCCACAGAGAGAAGGAACAACACTTCTGGGTGGAATCATCACAAACTCAGGATGCAAACCCACACTGAGAAGCACACAAAGGAAGGAAAAGCCATACACACAGCATGCCAGAGGACCTGAAGGGACTTCTAAAAGCATGAATTACTTACCTTTGTTGAAAAACATGGAAGCCATCTGGCCCATTTCCACCCTCTCAGTAATTTCAAAGATATTGGGTGAGCCACGTCTCTCTGCAAGTTGAAAACAAGAAGTGTTTCAGTCAGTCCCTTCAGTAAACCCAGAGGCCACACACTTATCTGAAGACGCTGAGGAAGCTCTAGCAACAGTTTGAAGGACAGTGTGTATGACTCCACAGCTGCAGAGTCACTGGTTCAATTACTCTGCTGAAGCTAGTTTAAAAGTGTTTCAAAAATAAGATGTTCTCATCTTAGTGACCTAGAAGGAAGAGATCTTTATCAGACTGCAAAAGGCAAACTGAATGCTCAATGAGTCTTATCTTGCAAGTAAGCATTAAGGACTTTGGGATGTGAGAGCGTGGAATTAAGGGTAAAGTGGACAGAAGAGTCCTTCCTGTTCCACTTGCTGGAGCCCACTGGGACACAGTCTGCAGAGAAGAGATCTCAGATGCCATGAAAGCACGAAGTGGGTACTTACGAACTGACAGGATAGGCCGTGTCTCTGCTCGCTCATAGCCATCTTGGAGGAGAACATCAGTGTCAGATACACCAGAGGAAGAATCCTCATCCTCATCATCCTCCTGGAAGAGAAGCCCAGACCTCTGCTGAGATGTTTGCCACCCACATTACAGGTTGCCATAGTCTCACTTCCAGAAACTCAAAGGTAGGTCCCAAACAGGGATGGGCAGGACATGCAAGCAAAGATAATGGCAGGAAGCCTTGGCCCAGGGTTGGGATGCTGCAGGGAGTAGAGGAGGCTGAAGTGAGCGACAGGCTTTGCTGTCCTAGCCTATGTCATGTGCACAGCAAGTGTCCAATTTATGTAGGGATACGTGGCACAAGGAAATTGGAAGCTTCTGGCAAACCTGCAGGATTGCAGAATTGGTAATAAAAATAATCCAAACATATATAATCTTAGCTGGGCAGAGCAGACAGGTCTGGCTCCCAACTCCAACCTACCAACATACAGGCAGGGATCTAAATGAGTGCAATCAATGCCTCACACTGATCCAGAAAAGCCACTAAAGACAGGATTCAAAAAGCCACGGGCAATTTTTACAGCAAGGACATACTTCAGGACTGTCCACTCCCTGGGATACAGCCCAAGTGACAGCAAGGATATACCAGCCTGTCCCAGTCAAATAACCCACGATCAGCAAGGATTTATAGACCTCAGCACACTCCAAATGGCACCTCTCCACATTCACTGAGCAGTGCTTCTGGGCAAGGAGAGCACAATCAGTTAAGAAATGGGAACAGCACAAGAGATTTTTCAAAGCAGGAGCAGCAAATCCTGTCTTTAATGAGCAACCCCACAGGGAACTAACAGCCCTATTTCATATGGCAAAGTTAAGTACAGTAGAAATTTATTCCTTTAGAGTTACTAATGAGGCAAAGATGCAGAGGAATCTCAGGCAAGTCCTACATGATAGAAGAACAAGAGAAAGCCCACACGAACCTTGCGTTTCTCCATTCTCTTCCATCGCAGCTGGGCATTTGCAGCAGCCATGGCTTCCACCACAAAGGTCGTAGTCATATAACTAGAGAGAGGAATTCAACTGGTATCAATAACAGTCAAGAACTGTCACAGAAGGGAGATGGACAATTATTCCCATCTGTCTGCAGGTGCAAACCAACCAGAACAACCCTTTCACCTGCTACACACACACACACACACACACACAGTGTTGTTGATACGGCGTTTCATCTCTGGTTGCTGCTCCCTCCTGTTCTTCAGATTAATGTGTCAAGCAGACAACTAAATGCAGTAAAATATAACACGCCTTCAGATATAAAAAGACATTTTGGATATCTGGAAGGCACCTTCCTAACATTTCTGAGGGGTTGAGAAAGACAAGAGGACTTCCCCATTTGTTAGAAAGCAAGCTTCCTTCCTCTTATTAGGGCAAAGGACACACACAGTACTGTGCTGAAGCTTATCTGTTAGGGCCTGTGGCAAAGGTACTACAATCCAGTAAAGAATCTTACAAATGGCATCAGCAAACCAAAGATTGCAGCAAAGCAGAAACCCAAGAGCAAGGAGCACATCACATATGGATGCTAATACACTTTGCTGGAGGCCAAGGGAAAAGCTGTCCAGGGAGAGAGCCACTAATGGAAGGAATATCATTACCTCAGCTAACAGTCCTTTAATATAGAAACAAACCAACCAACCTCAAATCAACCTTATTTAAGGCTTTAAAGTGGCTTCTCACTGCTTCAGGAACTGGACTCACTTATCAAGCTCAAATGAGAGGTCAGTTTTACAAGAATAAAAGCAAGCAGCCCTGTCCTGAGGCCCAGTTTCTGGCTAGACTGTTCTGGCACTTGAAGGGTCCCCAGTGGGCACGAGGAAGTCGTAAGCACCAAAACAAAAGCAATAGGTCAGCCCAGCTCCCAAGGCACACAGCTGCAAGCTGTGTCTTCTCAGTTTAATCCAGATCAGTTTTAGTGTGCAGGTTCAGAGGCTTGTGCTCTTCTGCTGACCTTGAAGGACCATCAGTTGGTGCTGAGTACCATACATTGCATTTACACTGTTAAACTAATGTACCTAAGGGGAACTGCTTCCAAAGCTCCCGATCACTGGTACTCCCACAGTTTACATTAAGCCTTTGCAGCACTCAGCTTTGAATTTGAGGTGGGGAACTTACAAGCACTACTACAATCAGTACTGACCATACAGTACCCCTATATAGCAGCACCTAACAGATCCAAAAAGCACTGCCTCCAAATCAGAGGCACCTTCAGACTGACAGAGCTGGTTACTGACAAGAAAGGAACTTCTAAATTCCATTTGTACAAACACCAGGAGGGGATTTTGGTTTATTTTACTTTAAAATCCAAGCAGGGTTTCACAGCCTGTTGGAACATGGCAATTCTATTAATAACTACTTAGACATCCGTGCTGTATCAACAGCCTCCAGCTCCACCTGCTGCTCCAGCAGGGAGACATCTGGGCAGAAGCTCATGGCAAGCCAGCATGGAAATCATGAGACTAGCTCCAAGGTCTCAAGCAGGAAAGGTTTGGAGGGAGATAAGACAGGCCCAGCTATAGAGTAATTTGTTTTCCTGACACTCTTGTAGCTGCCCAGAGCATTGCCAGAAGCCAAGAGAAAGCTAATACAACAGGTCTGCATCATACCTGCAAGTCACAAAGCACAGCAATGACCCTGTGTCATCTGTGACCTGGTTAGCGCTTGGGAAACTGATCCAGGACAGAGGCAAGAGTGGGATGTATCCACAGCGAGGGCAATATTAAAAAAGAAAGCTGGGAGAAAGGTCTCAGAAGGCTCTGAACTGGAGAAGTCTTTCCCATCAGTCAGGAAGTGGGATGTAGCCCCATATTGCTTCATCCTTTCAAACAAGGTCCACAGGCAACACAGCTGCCAATTGCAATGCTCAAGCACCAGAGGAACAGGCTCACTTAGCAAAGCACAGAAGTCTCAGCACCGTCCTTACAACCCCACCCAACCACACCTCCCAATCCTCCAAGGGCACATACTCACGTCCCACCTCATAAATCCCAGGAACATGAGGAGAACGAGGCTGACGAGCCACCCTGCTGTTGCAAAGGCCTTCGGCATGGTCAGGGCTCCTGTTCCCACGATGAGGTTGAACATGTAAACCAGACCCACCTGAAATCATCCACATAATCCAACATGAGAGCTGGCAGCTGTGCCAGAGATCATCCCAGACACCTTACATGTGCACTGATTTAAATGGAGAGAGCAATCTTTGAGCAAGCAGGGTGGGAGCAAGTCCATGGTAGAAATAAATGTAAGAGGGGACTGATAACCAAAGTGAGTGTCAGCACGTTTCTAGAGAAACTGATATTCATCTCCATCTTTTTAACTATTTTTAAGGTTATCTTCTTTCTAGCTTGTAAAGTTAGAAAGCATGTGAGCTGTTTCATCCTTCCACTGCCTCATATCAGAAGGGTCTACACTGTGGGTTGGGGTCTCTCCTTATTTTCTGACCTGAACCTAAGTAGTTAGGTTCATACGTAAGTTACCCTTCAGAACCTCTTGTTCTTTATTCTTAGTCAAGCAGGAGATACCTAAACAGAAACCTGACTCAAAGCCTGCTCACTATTTTAACACATTCTGAAGGTGGGATTTTACTTCTGGAAGGGAAAGGATTTTCTCCTCTCTGGCAATGAGCTTTTTTCTGCCTACGGGCAAAAGATAACTGTGCACCCAGACTACGAATTCAGCTGAACTCAGGATCACGAATTGCCTCCAAGTTGGCTTGTTTGGTTTTTATACATACATATATAGGTCAGAGCCTCTCCAGAGGACAGCCAGTAAAGAACTGTGTCAGAGTACGCTTTCCTAGGTGTGGAACAAGTAATATCAGGAGAACTATTCCCCTGTGAGCACTCCTGCCCCTCATCCACTGGTATAAACACAGCAAATTCATCTTCTGACAAGTATCCCAGAATGACAAGAGTCAGCTATTGCAGCTTGCAGGAAAGCTCTTTCCATTCAGCTGGCAGAGCTGTCATTCCTCAAGCACAACTCAAGTGCTCAGGGCCACAATTCACTCTGCAGTGAAGGACTCTTGAAAAAGCACTTCAGGTGATTCTCCTTAACTTTGGTCAAGTTGACAGAGATGGCAGTGGTGCCTGTGTTCAGCTGGCTAAACATCTTCAGGGAGAGAGGAGAGTCATAGTCTGAGATGAGGCACTAGGAAATTCATGCAGCACTAATATAACATAAGAGCAGGTGACACTAATCCTTTAGGGTCTGGATGCCCCAGTTATTGTCTGCATTTTCTCAGTTGTGACCTATTTCTGCAGCCTAATATCCAGTTCTTCTCAATTCAATCATTAACATGGGGGTGAAAGTTTTAAAGCATTTGAAAACCAACACACAGGTTTCAGGACTGGTTCTATGTTCAGTGAATTCACTTCAGAAAGAAAAACAAAGAGAGTTTGCCAAGCGCTGTTTTTAAGAGCTGACACTATATGAATACTTGTGGCTATGAAAACCAGTATTTCCAGTAACACAGGAAAGCACTAATTGGCCCTGCAATTTCACAGGACACCACATTACAAGGAAGAAACATCCCGATTACTCATTTTAAGTGAAGTGGTTTAAAAGCAATTAGTACAACAGCTAAAAATAAGTAAACTTTATATAATGTTTTCCTCTGCATTTCTTGAAGCAAAACAAAAGCAGCAGCAAAGCGGGATAGTTTCAGTGTCTCACACACCCCCATGTTTATGCTAGCTTCACAGGACAATTTGGGCTAACGAAAACATAAGGAAAGAAAAGGATACAAGAGCTAGTATGGGATGTGAAGCTCTTTTAAAGGCTTTTAAAACTATACCTTAAGCCAACATTATGCCCTTATATAAAGAGTGATCCGTAATGTTAAAACCCCACAAGCACTCAGCATTTTTAAGTACCCTTTAACTTCCACCATCTCTTGAAACACTGAGGTTCTGTCCATGGGGAGGTAGGAAATGAAACCACAATGCTGAGAGAAGAGAATATGGAACACACTTGTGAGCAAACCCACAATGAGCCATACTTACATAGGGAGAGTAAAGCTCTCCCGTATCCGTGATGCCGCCAGCCATGCTGCAGGCGGTGGGGAGGCTCGGAGCAGAGCGAGGAGGGTGTTTGCAGGAGGGTGTTTTCACCTTCTATTGTCTTTAGCCTTGGGAAACACCATAAAGTTGCGTTAGCTTTGTACAGGAGGAACTCACAAGTCAGCTTTTGCACATCAGCCTTGTGATGTTTGAACAAAAAAGGGTTTCAGCAGGAACAGCAGGACTTTGTGCTTTGGATACAGCCCATTCACCAGCACCAACTGGTTCAATACAAAAGGTTCTCCTACTTGTTAAACTAGTTTAAAAGGAATCAAAAAGCCCTGCCCTTCCACAGCATGTGATGACCAAACTTTTCCTTCCCCAAACAGCCAGAGGGGCCGTTTCAGACACTAAAACCTCAAAAGGAAGAATGCCTGCCTTGAGGATGAGCTCACACTGCCGCGTCTCATGAAGCTACTGTTCTTAATAGCAGGTGTCTCCTGCAAATCAAAGCAGAAAAAATAACCCACAGTCTCTCTTTATAAACTCAAACAGAAAAATAAGTAGACCTATGAAAAACACCCCAAGATGTTTTGTTACACATACCAAGGCTTCCAAAGCACAAGTATTTGGGGAACTTCACGTTGCCTTAATAAAGCTACGAGGAAAAATGAGACCCAAAGCCTCCTGAAAGGATTCGGGGTCAATAATTAGCCATAGCTGAATTGTTTAAGAGCTTTATCGAACTCCTCATACTCCTATATATGTTCCTACCCAGTCACACCGACAGGGGCAAATCATCAGCACAGCTCCACAAGCTAAGAAGACCAAACAGCCCATGAGCTCACACACCCCCTAGATGACAGCAGTCCATCAGCAGCAGTGCTCACAGCGCTCACAACTCGGCCAGCCCTCAGGGGGAGCGGCCAAACGCCACCTCCTATAGCAGATCTCCACTCGAGTCACC